TTGGTTCCTTCTAGTATATTATTCATTTCAGTAATTGTGTTCTTCTGCTCTGTTTGATTGTTCTTTATACTTACTTTTTGTTAAAGACGTCTAACTACTCACTCTTTGCATCCATTCTCCTCCCAAGTTCTCTGATTATCTTCACCACATTACTCTGAATTCTTTCTTGGGTAGATTGCCTATCTCCTCATCACTTATTTCTTCTTCCAGGATTCTGTCTTGTGCCTTTGCCTGGAACTTACTCCTCTGCCACCTCATTTTGTCTAAATTTCTACTTGCATTTTTATGTAAGTTCATTATGTTTCTCAGCCTTGAGAAGCGGCCCTCTGTAGGAGACATCCTAGGTCTCCCAGAAGTGTATGCTGCTCTCATCACCCAGGGGCCTGTGGCAGCTGGTCCCAGAGTAAATTCTGGCCTGTGTTTGTGGAATTGTTTTGCAGGTTGCGAGATCAAAGTTTTCTAGCTTCTGATGTCTGCCTCCTGGTGGGTGAGGCTGGTCTAGAGGCTGGTGCAGGCTTCCTGGTGGGAGAAGCTGGTATCTGCCCACTGGTGGGTAGAGTTGGGTCTTGGCCTTCTGGTGGGCAGGCCGTGTCTAGAGGCATCTGTGGGATCAGCCATAGGTAGTGTCTGCTTATCGGTGGAGATATGTTTCCACCTGGTTAATTGGCCTGAGGAGTCCCAGCTCTGGAGCCTAAAGGCTGTTGGGTGGGGCCAAGTCTCTGTGCTAACGTTCAAGCAAGATATCAGCCTCCCAGAAGGAGAGGTCATTCACATGAACACCCCCAAATATGTGCCACCATGTCCATGCCCCCAGGGTGAGCCACAGCCACCCTGCCTTCCCCAGGAGACCTGCAAGCTCAGCAGGTAGATCTGACCCAGGTTCCTATGAAAGTACTGCTTTTATCCTTGATTCCAGTGAACATGAGATTTTCTGTGTGACCCTTAAGCCTACAGTCTGATTCCCCAAGTCCTGTGGGGCTCCTGTAACCACGCCCCACTGGCCTTCAGGGCCCAGCGCTCTGGGGACTCCTCTCCCCGGTGCTGAAGCCCCCAGACTGGGGTGCCTGATATGGGGCTCAGAGCTCTCGCCCCTGCGACAGGACCTCTGCAATATGATTATTCTCCAGTTTGTGGGCCCTTCACCCAGGGGGTATAAGACCTGATTATATCATGAGTCCCCCCTCCTACTGGTCTCATCATAGTTTCTTCTTTATATTTTTAGCTACAGAAGATCCTTTCTGGTAGTTTCTAGCCTTTTTTATTGCTAGTGTTCTGCAGTTATTTGTGGTCATGGTGTGTCTGTGAGAGGAGGTGAGCTCCAGCTCCTTCTACTCTGCCATCTTGAAAGGAAGTCACAATTTTTTAATCTATAAAATATATGTAAAATATGAAGGTTGGATTTGATCACATAATTTCTTTGAACTATAACTTTATGAAATATGATAAATGATGTGTTTTTCATTCTGATATCCAGGGTAACAGCATCAAGAAACAAGAGTGTAATATCCTTACTTGTGTTTAAGGAAAAAGCTTATTGAGTTTGAAGGCAGTAAAGAGAGAGTCAGATAAATATATGGCCCAAAAAACATCTCACCCCTCAAGAAGAGAGGTGTTTACCATCTGAGTTTAAAGAAAGGTATTGCCACACTTGTTTGCTCTTTCAGAACATGTTTTGAACTCTCATTTCCTGTTTAGGAAAAACAGTATCATTTTCTTTTAGGAAAAAATGAAGCAGTGTTGATCTTCTGCCCATCCCACATATATGATTCTTGTCTCATGACTGTCAGGCAGGACCACAAAATCAGAATTATGAGGCAGTTTTCAGCATTGGTAATGGTACAGAAGAACATGTAGTCAGAGAAGTTTGGGATTGAATCCCAGTTCCACAAACTAGCAGTTGTAAATTTTAGTGCAATTTAACTAACTCCTTTTTGCCCATTTTCAAAACTGAGAAGTTAATAATACCTACTTTTAAGGTTGTTGGGAGAAATAAGATACTTTATGTTGGCATATAGTTGGTACTACAAGAATAAACCCTACCTTTGTTGATTGCAATTCTTATCAGAATTATTGCTGCACATCTAATACCTAACAGAAACAAAAAGATGTCTCATAAATCCATAAGATTATCAGTTTTTTTAAGAACTCAAGAAAGGCCTAATATTCCAAACAAGTTTTAGTTCTGTGGAGTGACAGTGTCTCTTCAAAAACCCTGCAACCACTTACAGACTGAGCGTTTATAAGGGGTCAGAATCACTTCCGAAACTGACCCAAACTCAGTTTTCTTTGAGAATCTGAGCTCTTCTTCTGACAAGGGGCCAGCAGCCCAGAATGCTTTTCTTAGTTGTGGCCTAGAAAGAGATCATATCTAGGACAGCTGAGGTCTCAACTAGTGCATACCAGTGTTAATGAGTTATTCGGAAAAATCAGGGGGTCACCGGAGAGGACTGATCAAAGCCTGGTACAAAGAATAAGTTCAGTTAATATTAAGTTTCTGTTCTCTCTTTTAGAAACGTGCAGACTACAAAATCCTTATCATAGTGTGATCACTTTTCATCTTACAGGATTGCATATAAGCTCTGATCTTCCTGTGTGTTCTATTGCAAAGAAATCTTTAATTGCCTTTAAATACCATAATTGCCTTTAAGTACCAGAACATATCATTTTTTAAAAGAGACTTTATTTTTAGAGCAGTTTTACATTCACAGTAAAATTAAGTGGCAATTATAGAGCTCCCGTATACCTCCTGCCCCCCCACATGAGCTGCTTCTCCCACCACCAATATCCCTCACCACCAGTGATACGTTTATTACAATTGGTGAACCTACACTGACACATTGTTATCACCTGAAGTCCATAGTTTACATTAGGGTTCACACATGGTGTTGTACAGCCTATGGTTTGGACATATGTGCAATGACATGTATTCACCATGATGGTCGCTTTCAGTATAGTTTCATTGCCCTAGGAATGCCCAGTTATACCTATTTCTCCCCTGGTACCTAACCCCTAGCAACCACTGATTTTTTTACTGTCTACATACTTGATTCTTCTCTAAGAATGTTGGAGAATTGATGATAGTTTATACTGTTTCTCGGGGCAATCATAGGGGATTCTGAAAAAGCTAATAGAGCAACCAATGAAAAATCAGTGATGTAACGAGGAGGAGTGAGGCTGAGAAAGGGGAAGAGAATACTTGAGGAAATATTCAAAAGGCAAGAGAAGAACAGAGGGACAGAAAGGGGCAGGGGCTTGTGAACCTTAGCCAGGCCGCTGGGAAGACATTTAGTTCATGCCTGTATTGTATGAATGAGTAAAAAGGCCTTAAAGGCACATTGACTTTTCAATACCGTGGAAGACTTGGTCCATAGCAGTTAAGTTAGAGGAAAGTGAACTGGTTGGAAGCTGGTGACGATGAGAGAAGCTGGAAGCCAGAGAGGACGGTCAGAACTGGAGCGGAAATGAGCATCTGAGTAGGAGGTCCAGGGTTTTGG